TAGGCCTTCCATCCTGCCTTAAAACGAATCATTGGGTATAAACTAGGTTATACACCATTATGTAGTGTCACAGATTATACACTTTTATGTAGTGTCCCGGGTTATAAAACTATTATGTAGTGGCCCGGGTTAAACACTATTATGAAGTGTTCCGGGTTATACACTATCATGTAGTGTCACAGGTTATACACTATCACGCAGTGTCCCGGGTTATACACTATCTAGTGTCACAGATTGTGCACTATCATGTAGTGTCCTGGGTTATACACTATTATGTAGTGGCACAGATTATACACTACCACGTAGCGTCCCGGGTTATACACTATCATGTAGTGTCCCGGGTTATACCCTATCATGTAGTGTCCCGGTTTATACACTATTATGTAGTGCCCCGGGTTAAACACTATTATGAAGTGTCCTGCGTTATACAATATCATGCAGTGTCAAAGGTTATACACTATCATGTTGTGTCCCCGGTTATACGCTATCATGTAGTGTCCTGGGTTATACATCATTATGTAGTGTCCCGGGTTATACCCTATCATGTAGTGTCCCGGGTTATACACTATCGTGTAGTGTCACAGGTTATACCCTATCATGTAGTGTCCCGGGTTATACACTATCATGCAGTGTCACAGATTATACACTATCATGTAGTGTCCCGAGTTATACACTATCATGCAGTGTCACGGGTTATACGCTATCATGTAGGTGTCCCGGGTTATACACTATCATGTAGTGTCACAGGTTATACACTATCCCGCAGTGTCCCGGGTTATACACTATCTAGTGTAACAGATTATACACTACCATGTAGCGTCCTGGGTTGTACACTATCATGTAGTTACCCGGGTTATACACTATCATGTAGTGTTCCGGGTTATACACTATCATGTAGTGTCCTGGGTTATACACTATCATGTAGTGTCCCGGTTTATACACTATTATGTAGTGTCACAAGTTATACACTATTATGTAGTGTTACAGGTTATACACTATCTAGTGTCACAGATTATGCACTATCATGTACTGTCCCGGGTCATACACTACCATGTAGCGTCCCGGATTATACACCAGATGTAGTGTCCCGGGTTAATACTATCATGTACATGTAGTGCCCCGGGTTAAACACTATCATGTAGTGTTTTGGATTATACAATATCATGTAGTGTCCTGGGTTATATATTATTATGTAGTGTCACAGATTATACCCTATCATGTGGTGTCCTGGGTTGTGCACTATCATGTAGTGTCCCCGGTTATACACTATCATGTAGTGTCCCGGGTTATACCCTATCATGTAGTGTCCCGGGTTATACACTATCATGTAGTGTCACAGGTTATACACTATCATGCAGTGTCCCTGGTTATACACTATTATGTAGTGTCACAGGTTATACACTATTTTGTAGTGTCACAGGTTATACATTATCATGTAGTGTCACAGATTATACACTATCATGTAGTGTCATGGGTTATACCCTATCATGTAGTGCACAGGGTTATACACTATCATGAAGTGTCACAGGATATACCCTACCATGTAGTGCACAGGGTTATACACTATTATGTAGTGTCACAGGTTATACACTATCGTGTAGTGTCACAGGATATACCCTATCATGTAGTGCACAGGGTTATACACTATTATGTAGTGTCACAGGTTATACACTATCATGTAGTGTCACAGGTTATACACTATCATGCAGTGTCCCGGGTTATACACTATCTAGTGTCACAGATTATGCACTATCATGTAGTGTCCCGGGTTATACACTATTATGTAGTGGCACAGATTATACGCTACCACGTAGCGTCCTGGGTTATACACTATCATGTACTGTCCCGGTTTATACACTATTATGTAGTGGCACAGATTATACGCTACCACGTAGCGTCCTGGGTTATACACTATCATGTACTGTCCCGGGTTATACCCTATCACGCAGTGCACAGGGTTATACACTATTATGTAGTGTCACGGAATATACACTATCATGTTGTGTCACAGGTGATATCATATCATGTAGTGTCCCGGGTTATACATCATCATGTAGTGTCACAGGATATACACTATCATGCAGTGTCCCTGGTTAAACACTATTATGTAGTGTCACAGATTATACACTATCATGTTGTGTCACAGGTGATATCATATCATGTAGTGTCCCGGGTTATACATCATCATGTAGTGTCACAGGATATACACTATCATGCAGTGTCCCTGGTTAAACACTATTATGTAGTGTCACAGATTATACACTATCATGTAACTGTCACGGATTATACACTATCACGCAGTGTCCCGTGTTATACACTATCTCTAGTGTCACAGATTATGCACTATCATGTAGTGTCCCGGGTTTTATACTATTATGTAGTGGCACAGATTATACACTATGATGTAGCGTCCCGGGTTATACACTATCATGTACTGTCCCGGGTTATACCCTATCATGTAGTGCACAGGGTTATACACTATCATGTAGTTACCCGGGTTATACAATATCATGTAGTGTCCCGGGTTATACACTATCATGTAGTGTCCCGGTTCATACACTATCATGTAGTGTCCCCGGTTATACACTATCATGTAGTGTCACAGGTTATACACTATCATGTTGTGCACAGGGTTACACACAATCATGTAGTGTCCCCCGTTATACACTATCATGTAGTGTCCCGGGTTAAACACTTTCATGTAGTGTCACAGGTTATACACTATCCTGTAGTGCACAGGGTTACACACAATGATGTAGTGTCACAGGTTATACACTATCATGTAGTGTCCCGGGTTATACACTATCATGTAGTGTCACAGGTTATACACTATCATGTAGTGTCCCGGGTTACACACTATCATGTAGTGTCACAGGTTATACACTCTCATGTAGTGCACAGGGTTACACACAATCATGTAGTGTCCCCGGTTATACACTATCATGTAGTGTCCCGGGTTATACACGTTTATGTAATGTGGCAGGTTGTATGGGAACAAGTATGGGAACACACATTTCTTGATGTGGACAAAATGCAATCGACAGAAAATGATTTTTTTTATTAGAATTGATCCAATAGCGATCAAGTATGGACGTCAGGTAGTCACATCTGTGAACAAAGTAACCCAGATATCGCCTCCAAAACCGGTTCTGTCATGTCATAAAGTCACAAGAATGACAAGGGTGTCAATAACGTGTGTGACCACCCCTGGAATGGACGCAGGTACTGTACCCTGTCTCATGGACCTGGCAAGAGTCCTTAAAGTTGCTTGGTGTATTGCTTGGTGTATTGCTTAGTGTATTGCTTGGTGTATTGCTTGGTGTATTGTTTAGTGTATTGTTTGGTGTATTGCTTGGTGTATTGCAGGCACTAGACGAAGTGTGGCAGGTTGACAGAAGGGGGAGGGGGGATTTTGCACTCAAACGTCGTCCCAGTACGTCCCACAGGATTCGATCGGTGCCAGATCTGGGGAATAGGCAGCCATTGCATTCTGGGGATCCCATTTCGGTTGATGAAGTCAGTAGCCACACGTGCCCCGTGAGGCCGAGAACTATCATCCTAGAGCGTGGCACCAGGCCATATGGCAGTCAAAGCAAGAACAAGTGGCCGAAGTATCTCGTCCCTGCAACGAATTCCTGTCAGATTTCCATTCCCATCATGAAGTGGGGTTCTGTGATTCAAACTGAAGCCCCATACCATCACTGAGCACCAAACCGGTCCCGTTTCCTGACTGTGGCATCTGGAAACCGTTCTCCTCTGTGGTGAAAAACTCTCACACCACCATCATTGAACTGCATGCACAAACGTGACTCGCCTGTGACACTTGCGACCACTGCTGCCTATCCAAGCTGAGATGAGCTCGACACCATGCAACACGTGCAGTTATGTGACATGGCCGTAGAGGTGGTCTTACAGCAGGCCGTATGGAGTTGGGGTCACGGGTGGCCCAGTCGTCTAAGGCGCCGCGATCCGCTGTGCAGAGTTGCGTCTCTTCGACACGCCAGAAACCTAGGATTGTGGGTTCGAATCCCGGTTCGCCCCGATTTTGTTTCTTCCACCGAAGTGGTAAACGACTGAGACCTGCATCACTTCGGGCTTTCCTTCCACATTAAGCTGACACGCCGTGATATAACTGGAATACTGTTGCGGTCTGCCTGATTTTCTGTTTGTGGTTTCCGGCAAAATGTCATTACGAGAAACACTTTGTGAGGATTCTGTCTTGTTTGGAATTTGTCCACTTGGTTCAATGGTCGTCTTGGTGCCATGGTGGTTAAACCAGAACATTGACAGAATTCAGCAGTGTCAACCCTTATACCTTTTGTGTGCGGCATATCCACAGACATCCTGTGCATTGTTGCATTTGGGTGATGCTTTCCTCCTTATCGTGACATTGGCCAACTTCTAACCAAACAACTGTTCTTGGGACCAGTCTCCCCCAACACAACGTTGGCCACTCAAAAGACCTATTGGATTTTCAGGCATGGGATGTCCAGTGTTAGATATTTTACCTACAGCATTAAATTATGTGTTTATTTCAAGAAATACGGCAACGGGTATGTAGTATCGTACAATATGTAGGTGTTCCCTCACTTGTTGGAATGAATGAACGCTCATGTGGTGTATCCTAAGACAGTTATCGTAGTAGCGCGTGTCCTCTTCTGGCCACGCCCCTGCGAGTTTGGAGAAGTTTTTGTTTATATTAATAAAGGAGACATAAAATAATTTATCAAAGGATGTTTATAACAAGTTGGGTATTTCTGTTACAAATATATATGTACATTCAAGCGTAAACAAATCAGAAAACTCCATGTAAACATAAACATAAACATAAAATGTTGAAGACATGTCGCGAATGTCGCAAATTTAATTAAAACAACTACGCCGTTATACAATTACGACTTTGAAAAGTGCAACGAGATCACTGATCTGGCGATCCTACATATATATCAAAAACTAAGATCTTGTGTGGATTATAGTAGTTTTGACACGCACGAATATATATATATATATATATATATATATATATATATATATATATATAGCTAAGTGTTATGAATACCGGTGGCCGGTGGAGTATCTGGCATTCACTGTCAACACACACGCGCATACACACACTTACGCACGCACACGCGCGCACACACGCACGCACGCACGCACGCACGCCCACACATACACACACACACGCACACACACACACGCACACACACACGCACACACGCACACGCACACGCACACGCACACGCACACACACACATATATATATCCCGTGGACGGAAGAGTTAAAAGAGCAATAAACTACATATAATACTATAATACTTTTTTAAATGCGCATCATTGTGTGTGTCTTCCGTAGTGCCAAGTGTCACGTTGACGTTCTTAACGTCATCACGTTGACGTCATCGACTTCTTGCAGTCGTCCCTCATACCTTTGATGTAGCTCATGGTAACTGAAAATATTGAGAAAAAAAGTTAATACAGGATTTATCTATATGGTGGGAGGAAATTGATACTATTCAGTATGAAATGATACTGAACCGCAAAAGAAACGTCACCCAAGTGCATGAAAAGTTGTCATTTAAATATCTGGATAATTTTTGTAAAAGTTTCTAAAATTTAACTTTACCTTGTCCGGAGAAATGACATTTGATGATAAAAAAACAAAGCAGATGATTATAAAACCAATCGCCAAAACGCATCACGGCAACGGCCATGGTAACCCGATGCAAATTGAAATGCACATGCGTTTCCTCATTTCTTGCCCTATGAAAATCCACCCAGATCGGATAACATTCATTCGTTATTGAATTGCTACCCTATGCCAAGATTGACAAGAAATCAGCGACACCAAGCCTTTGGACGATTGCAAGCTGGACAAGAACATTTGACACTTAAATTTCAACCTTGATGACCAGTTTTACCAAGTTTAATCTTTTTAATATGTCTCAAAGTATGTTTACAGTGTTTGGACAAATAAGGTTTCTCATATATCTATCCATGGTGACGTTTATTTTGCGGTTCAGTATATTTAAAGCGGCACCTACATTCTTTCACTGGTTTCAAAGCCTTCAGATCTTCTTCTGGCAAATTCTTCTTCATTCCCAATACGAAGTACCTGTAAAGTAATTTTACATACATTGAGTACTGATGCTGGGGTTGCTGTCGGTACAGGTACTTCAGAATAAGAGGAGATGACAATCTCTGTTTATGATCTTTGGATTTCACAGAAGTATGAACATTCAGAGAATGAGAGCCACACGTAGGACGGGACTTCCTTTGGAACCCTGTATACTTCCCTACCTTATAGACCCTGATCGACAATGGTTTTCAGCAATTAAGACTATAAATTTTGATAAGGATAACAATGTTACTAGTAATTTGCCCAGGTCCACGTCAGTCAATTCTGAGTCGAACCCTGATAGACCCTGTGCGACGCCAAGTTTGTTTGCACTCTGGGAAAGTAGTACCTACCTGATCTTTTATATATGCATATTTATTTGTAAAAGACGAAAACGGATAAAAAAAATTATCCGTTGGGTATATTTTGCTGAGAAACCTTGTCATTAAAAGATAAAACTTCATCACCAAGCCACATAAATTAAGTCATTGCTTCTCGAGGTCGACGTTTTCTGTCAGTTGTTAGACGTATTTTGTCAGTTGTTAGAGACGGCTGTATGGGGTATAGTACCCTGTAGAGTTGTATGTGTGGCTACACTTTCAAAACTGTAAAAAGAAATGGTTCATCCCTGATACCTGCAGTAATTATTTCTAAAAATTGATTTTATTTGTTCAGTGACAATTGGGAACCTAGCCACCTGATCCATTTTGCTAACAAAGTGTTACTCAGATGAAGACTATCAATCATTTTGTGAACAACTCACTTTGTAACTAACTGTACATGGTAGGACCTGAAGGTAGTCACAGCTTGGATCAGGTTGTTGAAAGATGCCTTCAGTTCGCTGTTACCACTAGACTCCACTGAAAATATGAAAACAGAAACGTCACACACAAGACTCCACAGATACGTCACACACCATCGTAGAGACGTCACACATACACACACACATACACAGAGACGCCACACACGCCACCACAGAGACGTAACACACATCACCGCAGATACGTCACACACACACAACCACAGAGACGACACACACACCACCACAGAGACGACACACACCATCACAGAGTCCACACACACACACCACCACCACAGGGACAACACACACACCACCACAGAGACGACACACATACCACCACAGAGACGACACACATACCACCACAGAGACGACACACACACCACCACAGAGACGACACACATACCACCACAGATACGACACACACACCATCACAGAGTCAACACACACACCACCACCAGAGGGACGAAACACACACCACCACAAAGACGACACACACACCACCACAGAGACGTAACACACATCGCCACAGAGACGACACACACACCAGCGAAGAGACGACACACACCACCACAGAGACGTAACACACACACGCCACAAGAGAAGTAACACACACACACCACATAGATTACACACACCACCACCATAGAGACGTAACACACACCACCATCACAGAGACGGCACATACACACCACCACAGGGACGTAACACACACACCACCACAGAGACGATACACACCACGACAGAGACAACACACACACCACCAAAGATACGACACACACCACCACGACAGAGACGTAACACAAACCACCACCAAAGAGACGGCACACACACACCACCATAGAGACGTATCACACACAATATCACAGAGACGACACACACACCACCACAGAGACGATACACACCACGACAGAGACAACACACACACCACCAAAGATACGACACACACCACCACGACAGAGACGTAACACAAACCACCACCAAAGAGACGGCACACACACACCACCACAGAGACGTATCACACACACCATCACAGAGACGACACACACACCACCACAGAGACGACACACACACCACCACAGAGACGACTCACACACCAACACAGAGACGACACACACGCCACCACAGAGACGACAAACACCACCACAGAGACGAAACACACACCACCACAGAGACGACACACACACCACCACAGAGACGACACACACACCACCACAGAAACGAAACACACACAATCACAGAGACGACACACACCACCACAGTGACGACACACACACCACCACAGAGACGAAACACACACCACCACAGAGACGATACACACCACGACAGAGACAACACACACACCACCAAAGATACGACACACACCACCACGACAGAGACGTAACACAAACCACCACCAAAGAGACGGCACACACACACCACCACAGAGACGTATCACACACAATATCATAGAGACGACACACACACCACCACAGAGACGACACACACACCACCACAGAGACGACACACACACCACCACAGAGACGACACACACGCCACCACAGAGACGACACACACCACCACAGAGACGAAACACACACCACCACAGAGACGACACACACACCACCACAGAGACGACACACACACCACCACAGAAACGAAACACACACAATCACAGAGACGACACACACCACCACAGTGACGACACACACACCACCACAGAGACGAAACACACACACCACCACAGAGACGACACACACCACCACAGGAACGACACACACACCACCACAGAGACGAAACACACACCACCACAGAGACGACACACACTACCACAGAGACGTAACACACCACCACAGAGACGACACACACACACCACCACAGAGACGAAACACACACCACCACAGAGACGAAACACACACACGCCACAAGAGAAGTAACACACACACACCACATAGATTACACACACCACCACCATAGAGACGTAACACACACCATCATCACAGAGACGGCACATACACACCACCACAGGGACGTAACACACACACCACCACAGAGACGATACACACCACGACAGAGACAACACACACACCACCAAAGATACGACACACACCACCACGACAGAGACGTAACACAAACCACCACCAAAGAGACGGCACACACACACCACCATAGAGACGTATCACATACAATATCACAGAGACGACACACACACCACCACAGAGACGATACACACCACGACAGAGACAACACACACACCACCAAAGATACGACACACACCACCACGACAGAGACGTAACACAAACCACCACCAAAGAGACGGCACACACACACCACCACAGAGACGTATCACACACAATATCATAGAGACGACACACACACCACCACAGAGACGACACACACACCACCACAGAGACGACACACACACCACCACAGAGACGACACACACGCCACCACAGAGACGACACACACCACCACAGAGACGAAACACACACCACCACAGAGACGACACACACACCACCACAGAGACGACACACACACAGCTCCACAGAAACGAAACACACACAATCACAGAGACGACACACACCACCACAGTGACGACACACACACCACCACAGAGACGAAACACACACCACCACAGAGACGATACACACCACGACAGAGACAACACACACACCACCAAAGATACGACACACACCACCACGACAGAGACGTAACACAAACCACCACCAAAGAGACGGCACACACACACCACCACAGAGACGTATCACACACAATATCATAGAGACGACACACACACCACCACAGAGACGACACACACACCACCACAGAGACGACACACACACCACCACAGAGACGACACACACGCCACCACAGAGACGACACACACCACCACAGAGACGAAACACACACCACCACAGAGACGACACACACACCACCACAGAGACGACACACACACCACCACAGAAACGAAACACACACAATCACAGAGACGACACACACCACCACAGTGACGACACACACACCACCACAGAGACGAAACACACACACCACCACAGAGACGACACACACCACCACAGGAACGACACACACACCACCACAGAGACGAAACACACACAACCACAGAGACGACACACACTACCACAGAGACGTAACACACCACCACAGAGACGACACACACACACCACCACAGAGACGAAACACACACCACCACAGAGACGAAACACACACCATCACAGATACGACACAATTACCACCACAGAGACGTATCACACACACCACCACAGAGACGTATAACACACACCATCACAGAGACGACACACACACCACCACAGAGACGACACACACACCACCACCATAGAGACGAAACACACACCATCACAGAGACGACACACACCACCACAGAGACGAAACACACACCACCACAGAGACGACACACACCACCACAGAGACGAAACACACACCACCACAGAAACGAAACACACACCATCACAGAGACGACACAATTACCACCACAGAGACGTAACACACACACCACCACAGAGACGTATCACACACACCACCACAGAGACGTATAACACACACCATCACAGAGACGACACACACCACAAAAGAAACGACACACACACCACCACAGAGACGACACACAGCACCACAGAGACGACACACACACCACCACAGAGACGTATCACACACACCACCACAGAGACGTATAACACACACCATCACAGAGACGACACACACCACCACAGAAACGACACACACACCACCACAGAGACGACACACACCACCACAGAGACGACACACACCACCACAGAGACGACACACACACCACCACAGAGACGAAACACACACCACCACAGAGACGAAACACAAACCACCACAGAGACGAAACACACATCATCACAGAGACGACACAATTACCACCACAGAGACGTTTCACACACACCACCACAGAGACGACACACACACCACCACAGAAACGAAACACACACCATTACAGAGACGACACACACCACCACAGAGACGACACACACACCACCACAGAGACGAAACACACACCACCACAGAGACGAAACACACACCACCACAGAGACGGCACACACACACCACCACAGAGACGTATCACACACACCATCACAGAGACGACACACACCACCACAGAGACAACACACACACCACCACAGAGACGAAACACACACCACCACAGAGACGACACACACACCACCACAGAGACGTAACATACACCACCACCACAGAGACGGCACACACACACCACTACCCCAACAGAGACGACACACACACCACCACAGAGACGGCATATACACACACACCACCACAGAGACGACACACACAGCATCACAGAGCCGACACACACACCACCACAGAGACGACACACACACCATCACAGAGACGGCACACACACCACCACAGAGACGACACACACACACACACACACCACCACAGAGACGTAACACACACACCACCGCAGGCACCACACACACACACCACCACAGAGACGTAACACACACACCACCGCAGGGACCACACACACACACACACACACACACACACACACACACACACACACACACACACACACACACACACACACACACACACACACACACACACACACACCACCACCACCACCACCACCACCACCACCACCACAGTGACGTTACACACACACACACACACACACACACACAGCACTACATAGTCGTCACACACACCACCACCACAGAGACGTAACACACACACCACCACCACCACAGAGACGGCGCGCGCGCGCACACACAAACACACACATACACACACACACACTCACCACCACCACCACCAATGAGACGTAACACACACACCACCACAGACACACACACCACCACCACAGAGACGTAACACACACACATCACCACCACAGAGACGGCACACACACACACACACACACACACCACCAAAGAGACGTTACACACACACCACCACAGAGACTTAACACACACACCACCACCACAGAGACGTAACACACACACCACCACCACAGAGACGGCACACACACACACACACACACCACCAAAGAGACGTTACACACACACCACCACAGAAACGACACACACCACGACAGAGACGACACAAAAGCACCACCTAATCTACCAATCTACAGTGTGTGTGTGTGCGTGCATGCGTGCGTTCGTGCGCGCCTGTGTGTGTGTGGATATCCCAATCAGTCTCTGAGCCGACCAGTCCTTGTCTTACCAAAATCAATGCCGAAACAGCTGCACGCTGGTACTACTTTCCGGGTACAATTCATTACACTGTGTCATGCCTACCAACAGATTTCAGCTGGACTGGTCTCTGACGAAGGTCAGCAATCAACTTCCGGTGGCTGGGGTACAAGTACTCGCATACCGTCTGTGTGTACTGGTGTCTGTCTGATAAAAAAAAGAGAAATAAAGTTAAAGTTCGTTTAAGTACTTTTTGTGACTGGCATCAAGTAAACAGAGACGAACGACGTGTTTGATTTAGAGATTTACAACAATATGTTGCCAGATCAGCCGACGGGATTGATGAATGAAAAGAGTAAAATATGTTGAATGTTGATACAATATAAGCTTTAACAATGACATCCATCAACCAAGTCAACGGCGTGCCTGATCATCCGATCCCGTTTGTCGCCTCTTACGACAAGCATGGGTTGCTGAAGACTCTAACTCTAACCCGGAATCTTCACGGGACACATGTTAAGTACGTGAACAACGGAGACGCATTATACATATAGAACATTGCAATACATTGTAAGTGTTGTGAATGGTTTGGAAGGATTACTGACTCCACCTGTTAAAACAGACATTGAAGACATACACAACCAACCACAGTTAATCTGGACCTTACGATCCGCCACTTTGAAACCATCCGGGCACAAATGGCCGACACCAGACATCATAGAGTGGGGGTGTATCGGAAAGAAGCTCTCTCCCAACAGAAGAGCTTACGTTGTAACAACTGAATTGAAAAAAGGAAAGTAAAACTTGTAAACAAGCTAAATGATATATTACCTTCCCGAATCTGTATCCCACACAGGGCATCTAGGGATTTGAATATCGGGCTCTGACCAGCATTGGCGCCTGCCATCTGCAACACGACTTCACATTTTATACGGTTATGTTCGCAGTATCCCCCCAAACAACTGTACCTCTCTGGGACCGTTTATTGGTAGAAACAGTTGGAAACCCACAACCATATAGTGAGTTGGGTTTAACGTTGTTTTGAAGAATTTTCAAATGACCAATATAAAGTGAGAAGAAAACCCGAAGTGATGCAGAACTTAGACATTTGTTAGGTTACCTACGGGCACGCTGGATCACGAATCCGGAATTGGGAGCCACGATTCCTGCCACGGCTAAGGGACGCAACTCCGTGGTCACCCCACCACACCTCATGAAACTTAAGTTCTCACCTTCACGGGTTCGTCTTTTACGCCTTCAAATATCAGACCATCTGGCAGCGGTTCCATGTCATATCTGAAACAAATATGATTAATACATCAAATGGGTTTTTTATCCCAAGTGTCACCGGTGGTCCAGTCGTCAAAGAGGTGCTATCCTTTGTGCAAGTCCTTTAGTCCTGCTTGAATCCGATGGTCGTGGGTTTGAATCCTAGATTCGACCTGACATTGATACATGAATTGCCAACACATCATTCCTGCCTGTAGGTTTCACCAAAGTGGTAAAGTATCTACTACCTGCATCGCAATGGGCAAGGAGGTACTTTTTGGAATGCGCTTTTTACAATATTAAGGTGGAATAACTGAAGCGTAGTCATGTGACCTAATCCTATTAGGTCAATACAAGCTCTGAGTATTTCCGCGAGCAGGTCAAGTTATTCCGTGTTATAGACTGTTATATACATGTTCGCGGGAATACATGTTGTACAAGCCATCATGTACAAAATGAATTGTTTATTTGGAAATAAATAATTGTGCAACAATTTCACAATGTTGTTAGTGATTTGGTCACGTATGACATAGGTCTTTGAAAAATACTGTTAAATAACTGTGTTAAACCCAACTCACTCACTCACTCTTTCATCCTCTAAGTGTTCAGTGAATGCACGGAAACAACAACTTCTGTCAATCGACGTGCAAGACGACATTACGTTATGTCACCAACAGTACCTCAAGGCCGCTTTGAAGAACAGTGTCACTTCGAGAATCTCAAACTGCGGATACATCGTTGTATTTCATCCATTTGGCTTCAAAGTGATGAAGTTTATTTAACATAAATAACAGAGAATGGAAAAATTATCCATGTCTCTCATTTTCACATGTCGTTTAAAGGATATGAACGATTACCGTAAAGGGTTAATAATGAAAGGCGATTTTAATACTCACCCACTAAAGAATATGCTTAGTTTTGGGAAGAATCCTTCACTCGATAGCTGTTCTGAAATATAACCTTTTTATTTCAACACCACTCAATACATTATGTAGTATGTGTATTCATCTATGTATTAGGGTCAAAGGATTACAGAAATACTTGGTTATAATGAAGGCTTGGTTATAACGAACACTTGGATGTAACTTAGCTATTACAAATACAATTTTAGTCCCCGTTTCACAAAGAGACCTGAGCGCTAGGATATTCATGTTCGAAGTAAAATAAGCGGTAATTTATATTAGAAGTATTCGATTATTTGTTTCGCAGTAGTACTGAAAGACACTCCGTGGGAATTCCGGGTTAGAATAGGTCCCAAGTACCAATGTGGGAATTCTGGATACGAATAGGTCGCCAGAAACCCATTGGAATTCCTGGTTAGAATAGGTCCCCAGTATCAATGTACACTCTCACACTGGTACTAGCACCTATTCTCACCTGGAATTCTAACGGGGTGCTGGGGACCTATTCTAACCCGGAAATCTTATATTGGTACCCGGAATTCCTACGGGGTGCTGGCGACATATTCGTACTTAGAATTCCAACACTGGTATTGGAAATTCCAGGTTAGAATAGGCCCCCAGCACCAAAATAAGATTTCCGGGCTTGAATAGGTCTTCAGCACCCAGTGGGAAATCCGAGTTAGGAAAAGGTCCCCGGCAACCTATGATGGTCATAAGTGGCGACCAGGTGGATGAGGCTGGTTCATGGCATGTCCTTCTACCCCGACGACGTAGATGCTTGTAGACAATACCAATCACTGGATGGTCTGGTCCAGAGTGTGGCGTTCAACAACAAAAAAAGTAAAGAAAACTATTTTGTTGTGAAAGGTTGTACAGCACGGCAATCTGGACACCATAGGTCCGAATGACTAACATGAAGTCCGGGTCTTTACACTGATCTCGCTGGTAGTGTGTCATCCGTTCCGGCGTGAATCGTTACCAACCATTGATTCACTAGTCCCTGTTCGATTAATCGTGACATCTTAAGTTTGGCGAAGTTGGTTGCTCAAAGGATAACATGACACGCCCTCGCATAAGTGACAAAGTAACCGAGGTGGCGTAAATCAATACGCTACAGACATGCATGTCGGCACAAGCAGTGTACGTTACTGTGCAAACGAACCTACTTGGTAGCTGACAACGAACAAGATTGATACAAAGTGACTGAAGAGACTGTAAATGCTTCTAAGCCTCAGTCGGCTGAAACTGAAACTGCCCCGATATACAGAAAATATATATTCTATACTCACACGCAAAAGAAATGCAAGTCGAGTATGCAGTATACATGTTATTTATTTTCAACAGTAAAGACAAGAAATACTAATAGGGCAAGATTGACAAAAATTTGACTGAAGACAGTCTCATGGTTTAAAAGGCAGATGACATAATTGTTTTTTTCAAATGTTAAGGGCTTACACAGTTTCGGGTCAATACCCAAAATGTCAGTCAATACCTGGTGTGACCACCATTAGCATTGATCACTGCCACACATCTCCTGTACATTGTGTGGATCAGACGATTTGTGAAGGCCCTAGGGATCCTCCTGCACACATCCAGAGCAGATGTGCGTAGTTCATCGGCAGTTGTAGGGACTGGGCGCATATTGTGCAGACGCCTTTGAACCTCATCCCATAAGTGTTCGATGGGGTTCAGATCAGGGCTGGGGGCTGGCCACGGTAGAACACGGATGTTGTGTTGTTGCAGAAAGGCCATGGTAGCTCTGGCAACATGGGGACGAGCGTTGTCCTGCTGGAAAATGTGTTGTTGATGTTGTGCAAAAAATGGAACAACGTGGGGTCTGATCACTTGGTCGATATACCGCTGAGCAGGGACGCCGTGTCCCCGACCTTGACCAACATTCAGAAAGCACATGGGTCCAAGTCTCGCATTAAGTCCAATCCCTGCCCATATCATGACGCAAGGTCCACCCCATGGATCCCTTTCCACAAAGTTTCTGTCAGCGAAACGATCACCTCGACGCCGCCAAATTCTGACTCTTCCGTCTGCATGGGAGGCACAAAAGAGACTTTCATCAGAGAAGATGACACGCCTCCACTCACGATGACGCCAATTGTGATGCCCCTGTGCCCACTGAAGTCGTGCTTGTCGATGCCGTGGTTGGAGAACAGGACGACGTCGGATCACAGTGTTCCGGCTAATGTGTCGATTATGTGTTCCTATGGTCTTTCGAGCACTTTCACTTGCAGTTAGGAACGGATGTCGCTGGTGTTGACGGGTAATCTGCCGATCTTGTCGAGGTGTGGTGACCCTAGGACGACCGCTCCGAGGAAGGTCATCTGTGGTCTGTGTAGCATTGTATCGATGCAGGAGACAGTAAATTGTGGTTATGTTAACGTTGAAATGACGGGCAACATCTTGGACAGTTTCTCCAGCTTCCAAACGTCCGATAGCCTGGTTTCTCTGAATTTGAGTTAGGCGTGGCATTGTTGACCAAGGAGTGGTAGGTCCAAGAAACGGCCATAGTTTTATACCCACTACAGTTCACGATTTCGCGAGAAATGGGTGCATGATACCCACATATTCATTGAAATGGTGCGTTTTGGCGATTCGTTTTTTATGTTGTGTTTTACTTTGGGGTTCCAAAATGCAACCAAAAATATTGAAAATACCATCAGGCTTCACTGCATGCTAAAAACTCGTATCAATTTATGGTTCCGTGTTTGTTACCTATTTGCTTAAAACCACTTGCGTTTCTTTTGCGTGTGAGTTTATAGACTATGCATTCTGTTAATGATCCCCGTGAGCTTACTCTGAGTCATTGAAGGGGACTGTACGTGGTCCAAACAAGCAGTAAACAATATTTTACGGGTGGAATACCCTTTAATATTTCCAGATTTATAATATTTCATAATTAAATACAAACTAAATATGATATTTGCGCAGTAAAATGTCCTTCGGAACGCAAGCAAAATAAAGGAAAAAAATGTATTAACATTATCGTGTCAATATAATTGCTTAACATTCAATATTCTTACTAATTCTTCATGTAGGCTGTCATAGTTTATTTCTATGAAGGGAACTGAACTATTTTTAACCAATCTGTTTCCAAATAATGTTGGAGTCTTCTATAAACTAATATTGCTATTTTGTTGTTATAACGTTACATTTATCAATATCCCTGTGTAAAACGTCGACCTGTAAATAATCGAGTCTGGACGAGACAAACCAGTGATTAATATTTTCGGAGTGTTGACCGGGGTACACGGCACACCATAAAAAATGTCACCGAATTTGACCACCCGATCAAACATCGTATTCTGTGGACCAATATATACTCGAAATCTATACGGGTGGAATGGATTAAAATTATGTATTAGCAGACCTACAAATCATCACTAAATAATAGTAAGACTGAAAGATTATGTTTGTAAGTCGGTATTATGGCTGAAGGAAGATAGAGTCGTGAGATTAGAGACTTGGTTGGTACCTTCATTGCTGCGCCAAAGTCCAGTTCCGCCATTGCCCCCACGGCGAAGAACCAGTCCCACTGGGACCTGCCAGGAATGGCAACAATAGCCGCCAGGTTCCTTTGTTGTATTAAACACAAATAAACAAATCGTTCACATAAAATATTAAACTGAAGCATTACGTCAACTCTTCACACAAAGTCTAACGGTTACAATATCTCTGAACGATATCACACTTATGTCTTGTACTTATTCTCGAAGTTTCGTTTCGAAACTCATTATTTTTCATGGCGAAAAAAAATATATTCCGATGGACTGGAATGCTTACATTGTACATGTGGTCCGGTGTCATAGTAAAATTTACTTTTAATATTGACGAGATGATTCTAACGATTCATAAACATTTATGGAGGGAGGATCGGACCACCGACCTTGCGTGCTACGGGCATACGCCTATCCACTACAACAAGGAGGCGATTGTTAAGATGTGTTGGTAAATGTTAAGGCTACTTACTCTACAGACGCAGGTCTGAAATAAAGGATAAACAATAATATGACATATATGTAGATGTAGGTTCACTATCGAATGTATCTCGTCAACAACTGTTCCCCCCAAAAGTTAGTTTAAAGTTAGCCATCGATCGTTGAGACCAATCCCGCTTTACCCCCAAAATGTGGCAACATTTTCGAACAACTCTTGGCGCGCGTTATTTTATCTTCATAGAAACCTTAAGAAAGTAGTTATAACAAAGGGCAGAAAGGTATACCCTTATAGGGGTTACGTGTTATTTTTGGTCTCCCGTTGGATACCGCTCACTGACTCAGCATGTAAGCCTTCAAATTGTTTTATTCATTGCAAACTGAAAGGCCATAGGCCCATAGTTCAACGTATGTACAAGGTATGGGTGTTTCTTCTAACTAACAATGCATGATGTATGTACAATGCAATATTTTGTAATAAAGTAATATTTGAAGTTGACATGAGTATGCAAAACAAATTAATATTTGGGTAAGTTATAAACCTCTTTGGAATATACTTGTTTCTTAATTGACGATAGAGTTTACACACAAGCATAACATGATGCTCGTTTTCTACAACATTAAGGTTACAAGATGTACAGATATTGTTAGACTTTTTAAATATACGTTTAAAGATCTTTAAATCATAATATTCTGCTCTGAACTGCGCTAGAGATACTCGATTTATTTATTGTAACAGATATTAGATATTCTTCGAGTATAAGTTGTTGTTTGAAGAGAGAATAGTGAGTGAGTGAATATGGTTTTACGCCGCTTTTAGCAATATTCCAGCAATATCACGACGGGGGACACCAGAAATGGGCTTCACACATTGTACCCATGTCGGGAATCGAACCCGGGTCTTTGGCGTGACGAGCGAACGCTTTAACCACTAGGCTACCCGACCGCCCCGAAGAGAGAATAGGTACATGTACATTTGTTATTTCTTAGTTTTTCTATCCACATTTGCTGAAAACAATCTTTAGCTCTTTGGAGTAATAATGACATAAACATCTTGACATTTCCAACACCCTGATCCATCCATGCGTATCCAAGGCCTAAACTGAAAAGGGTGATTTCGATATTTGTTGCCCAATTATTTTTATTGCGTGAGTGACTGGCATTTGGATCCAGATAGAACAGCATGTTATAGGCTTTTACTGGGTATCGCGTGGATGGAAGAGTCGTTAGTTTTAACCAATAATTTATACAGCGCTTAAGCGAAAATAAATATACAATGTATATGGGTAAGGCTTCTGGAGATGTACCCGTATTTGTTTGTTTGTTGTTTAACGCCGCACTCAGCAATATTCCAGCTCTATGACGGCGGTCTATAAATAATTGAGTCTGGACCAGACAATCCAGTGATTGACATCAAGAGCATCGATCCACGCAATTGGGATACGACATGCATCACCACCCGATCATGATAGCTCAGACTTGATGGCTCAGACTTGATAGCTCAGACTTGATAGGCCTCTGTCAGGCAACTATCTAATAATGTCAGCAGGTACCTGTTCGGATCTTTGAAGACAGCGTTGCTGAGGATCACGTCAGCGTACGTGATAACAGGCGCCATGCCATACTTCTCATACATGGCGTACAGCGGTACAGCGAGAGGTGGAGGAAGAACCTGAGGCGGAGAAAAGGAACCTAAGATAGTTCTCAAAATGTCACAAACGCAGGGTGAATATCACTGAAAGACTCCTGGATCACACATACCCCTGCATCACACATACCCCTGCATCACACATACCTCTGGATCTTACACATCCCTCTGTATCACACATGCCTCTGTATCATACATACCCCTGGATCACACATACTCCTGGATCACACATACTCCTGGATCCCACATACCCCTGCATCACACATACCCCTGGATCACACATACTCCTGGATCACACATACCCCTGCATCACACATACCCCTGGATCACACCTGCCTCTGTATCATACATACCTCTGTATCACACATAGTCCTGAATCACACATATTCCTGGATCACACATACCCCGGAATCACACATACCTCTGGATCACACATACCCCGGAATCACACATACCCCTGGATCACACATAATCCTGAATCACACATACCCCTGGATCATACATACTCCTGGATCAGATATACCCCTGTATCATACATACCCCTGGATCAGATATACTCCTGGATCAGATATATTCCTGGATCACACATACCCCTGGATCACACATACCTTGAATTGCACAGAATGGGATTATATGGAACAACGTTTACATCTTCAGAATCCATCGGTTTGTTATCATTACATGCAGCTAAATGGTAAACGTCCCCTTTCCCCTTTGTTGATTCTCATCACACAAGTGACGGCGTTATTCACCCTGGGCACATCGGTGGAGTCCATCCAGAGATAGCCAGATGTGATGAACACCAGCTGCATATGGGCCAACTTGACCTCCTTTTCTCCGGACAGACAGCTCACGTCTAACACAGGAAGCTGAAAGGGGAATACCTCCTCCCATTCAGAAGACCAAACACACAATTCGTAGGGCCCAATGTTTATCGCGTATACTCGCGCCATGACAATACTCAGATTATAGCCTGTTTTTAAGATAAAGTCGTTTTTTATAAGTGAGTGAGATCATTGACAGTTGTTCTGATGAATAGCGAGAAAACTACGAATGTTTCTTAAGCGTCCGAAAACCCCAAACACGGGGATACTTTACATAGACTTAATATATAGAGAGTCGTAGAGCTAAGATCGCTTTGTGAAACGTGGGCCATCCAGTTTTAGTCATAACGTTGAACACAACTTATCCAAAACTCTCGCAAATGGAGGATGTGATTACAAGATATACCATCAGACAGAAAGAAACAATTTTAAGACTCCGTGTGTCAGTCTGGTTTTAAGTGACATTTTGATTTTGAGAATGCGTACCTTTGGAATTTCATCCCTCAAAGTCTTGGTTTCGATGCGCTTGACGAGACTGAGTGCCAACCTGGTCCAGGGGTCGAAGTAGGACGGGAGGCGTATCTAAAACACATTAATAACATCCTGACATATGTTGGCTTGCATCAGTATCAGGTCACTATCTGCTGGCGTGGAGGTGAACTGTTATTTAGTAATATAACTCAATGAATTGTACATGTTGGGTGTTCTGGAAAAATGTACTTTGGGTCTGAAAAAAAAGAGAAAAATAAATTCAAACTGTAAAACATATTTCCTCTCAAATCAAAATACCACATCCTCCCCTCCCCAGAGGGTATCCAATAGGGGTCAAGGTCGAGTCACGTTGACCTGGGATTATGTAAGAGACAGGATATTTGATCTGTCAGTGCTTCAAAAGACACATTATAATCGAGTCTGGGCCAGACAATCCAGTGATTGACATCATGATCCACGCAATTGGGATACGATTAAATGCTTCAATCAAGTCAGCGAGCCTGACCATCCGATCCCGTTAGTCGCCTCTTAGACAAGCATGGTCGCTTTTTAACAGCAATAATGGGATGCTGAAAACCTATTCTACCCCGGATCTGCTCGTCATTGACCAGGCTAATGTTGGTTTTATAGAGCAAGGTTAACATGGACACCCACTCAGACACAGTATCCGTACTCAGAACCACCCAGTCATTGTTTTACCCCGTAATGCCGACCGCCAAGTAGGGTAACGCTTTTTGGTATGACGCGGCCAGGGTATAGAACCAACGACCGTCTGCTCTCCGCGCAGACACTCTTTCCACCGCATGTACAGACGCAGTGACTTATAGGACCAGTGGATCGAACTACCTACTAGCTCCCCGGACAGACGCAGTGACTTACAGGACCAGTGGATTGAACTACCTACTAGCTCCCCGGACAGACGCAGTGACTTATAGGACCAGTGGATTGAACTACCTACTAGCTCCCCGGACAGACGCAGTGACTTACAGGACCAGTGGATCGAACTACCTACTAGCTCCCCGGACAGACGCAGTGACTTATAGGACCAGTGGATCGAACTACCTACTAGCTCCCCGGACAGACGCAGTGACTTACAGGACCAGTGGATCGAACTACCTACTAGCTCCCCGGGCAGACGCAGTGACTTATAGGACCAGTGGATCGAACTACCTACTAGCTCCCCGGACAGACGCAGTGACTTACAGGACCAGTGGATCGAACTACCTACTAGCTCCCTGGACAGACACAGTGACTTACAGGACCAGTGGATCGAACTACCTACTAGCTCCCCGGACAGACGCAATGACTTACAGGACCAGTGGATCGAACTACCTACTATCTCCCCGGACAGACGCAGTGACTTACAGGACCAGTGGATCGAACTACCTACTAGCTCCCCGGGCAGACGCAGTGACTTATAGGACCAGTGGATCGAACTACCTACTAGCTCCCCGGGCAGACGCAGTGACTTACAGGACCAGTGGATCGAACTACCTACTAGCTCCCCGGGCAGACGCAGTGACTTATAGGACCAGTGGATTGAACTACCTACTAGCTCCCCGGACAGACGCAGTGACTTACAGGACCAGTGGATCGAACTACCTACTAGCTCCCCGGGCAGACGCAGTGACTTATAGGACCAGTGGATTGAACTACCTACTAGCTCCCCGGACAGACGCAATGACTTACAGGACCAGTGGATCGAACTACCTACCTTAGCTCCCCGGGCAGACGCAGTATCCACTACACCACAAGTCTGTCGACAAGTATTTTACGTGATGTGCTATGTGTTGCTCTTCATAGGTGAGGTGAGGTCAAATGGGGTTTAACGTCGCGTCCAAGATTATTGCACTTATATAGCGACGTGCATGTACGTGTGTGTGTTTCTGTGGTTGCTTGTACTAGTCCGATTTATAGCACTAGCGCACTGAGATACAATGCCGCAGTTTAACATGAATACCCCACTCAGACACAGTATACTGACTCCGAGCCGACCAGTCCTTGTTTTAGCCCCTTAATGCCGAGCGCCAGACAGGGTAACAACAAGTAGCATCTTTTAACGTCTTTTGGTATAACGCGGCCGGGGATCGAACCCCGGACCTTCCGCTCTCCGGGGGACGCTCTACCACTAGACCACGGAGGCGGTCTGTTCTTCATAACAGTACGCTGGGTACGTGTACGTTTGATCGCAATGCTTACAATTCATGTTATTAGATCCCATACCAACAGTAGAAATAGAAATTTGTAATACGGTCGGAACGTCCTATAAAACCAGGAAAGAATAGCTGTATCAATATTAAAATGCCTCAAACGAAGTGCACTCGATTGTGCGCTGTTTTGCTGGGTTTTTTTTTAATACCATTTAAGTTTATTATCAATAGTCGCGAATACACACGGATCCTCCCATCTCTCCTTTGAAGAAAGAAACTGAATTTCCCGAAGACATCCATAACACCTGTTGTTTAGTCAACATAGGAGTCTGCGGAAGACACCGTGTAGAATGGCAGCCCTTTCATCCTGAAGAGAACGCCTCCGTGGTCTAGTGGTAGAGTGTCCACCCGGAGAGCGGAAGGTCGGGGGTTCGATACCCGGCAGCGTCATACCAAAAGACGTTAAAAGATGGTACTTGTTGTTGTCACCCTGTCTGGCGCTCGGCATGAAGGGGCTAAAACAAGCACTTGTCGTCTCGGAGTCAGTATACTTTGTCTGCGTGGGGTATTCATGTTAAACTGCGGCATTGTATCTCAGTGGGCTAGCACTATAAATCGACATCAGTCCGGACTAGTACAAACAGCCACACAAACACATACGCATGCATGCACGTCGCTATATAAGTGCAATGATCTTGGACGCGACGTTAAACCCAATTTCACCTCACCTCACCTGCCACAGCAGACCCAAAGTTGTTCGAGGCGGGCATCAATGCCCTAGGAATTATATTTGAGCAATCATTGATACGTTTCATATCCACCTGTACACCTGCTGCTCGGCCTGTGGCAACATATTGCAGTCAAACAAAACGATCGCTTTAGATTTGTTCTTCCTCCGCTATGTTCGTCCCTCGGCGTCACAGTTTCACGACCCATTCGTGACCAACTCGTCCCATTTCGGGACAGGCTTGTTGTAGATTACGGAAACGTGCGAGTGGTGACGAATGTTTCAAGACCCAAACAATCGATTCACGTCGGTTACGGTATCATGTGGTGCAACTCGGCGGTAAGCACGTGATTTCATGGTTTGCAGTTGTTGCAGTCAATTAACGTTAGTGATGGAAACAAAGTTGCAACTTTAACAACAGAAAACGCCCCACATCCGCCAATAACCAACGACTCGTAACATTCCGCCAATAACCAACGACTCGTAACATTCCGCCAATAACCAACGACTCGTAACATTCCGCCAATAACCAACGACTCGTAACATTCCGCCAATAACCAACGACTCGTAACATTCCGCCAATAACCAACGACACGTAACATCAGGTATGTTTACACGTGTTACCCGTTCACTCATATACGCTTAACAAAAGGACATATTCTTAAACGGCTTTAGCAAAATGGGGGAGATGCACTTTATTTACTTATTAAATTTTATTTTTGTCTGTTTGTTTCTTTAACGCCGCACTCAGCACTATTCCAACTATATGGCGGCGGTCTGTAAATAATCGAGTGTGGACCAGACAAACCAGTGATTGTTATCATGAGCATCGATCCACGCAATTGGGATCGATGACATGCATCAACCAAGTCAGGGAGCCTGACCACCCGATCCCGTTAGTCGCCTCTTACGACAAGCATAGTCGCCTTTTACGGCAGGCATGGGTTGAGAGATGCACTTTAAACATCCATTCTCACCCGTAACGTGCAAGGTGCATCTGTAGAGGTATCTCATTCCTACTAACGAATGTTTCATCGCCTGTAAACTATAATTCTCTTCTAGACTGGTTCCAGGATGTTTTTGGGTAATATAGAAGTGGATGGAGGTCTAACACGTTTACCACTTTGTTGAAACCTACGAGCACGGATATGGTGCTGACAAACCTAGAAACATGATGATAAGGACAAACAGGATTTGAACTTACGATCATCTGGACCGCCTCAAGAACGCAACTCTACACAGCGAATTGTCGCTTATTACAGGACTGGGCCATCCTGTCCCCGGGCAGTAGTGCGGCCATGACAGTTGACAGCTCGCTATTCATCAACACTTCACGGGTTTTGTATATGTTACAGTTAAACGTATAAAAAGATATTATGTATAATACCTGAAATTTCCAGGTACACGTATTATGTTAGTATATACGGTAATAACAGACAGTCTGTTACCCACCACCTTGCTGGCAAATTGTCCCGTTTGGCATGACGTGTTGCAGCCAATAACTCACCGTAACGGAACAAATTAGTATTGATTATCAAGCAAGGACTTGCTAGCAGAGATATATGTCACTTTATTTAGATATGGGCCTCGTGCCTGTCGTGGGGCCACTCGTGTAAAAAAGGGTCGTGAACATCCGGCTTAGATCGGTCTTCCTGTCATAAGAGGCGACTAACGGTATCGGGTGGTCAGGTTCGTTTGATGCATGTGATCGTATCCTAATTTCGTAGATCGATGTCAATCATTGGATTGTCTGGTCCCGATTATTTACAGACCGGCGTCACATAGCTGGAATATTGCAAAGGGTGGTATTGAACAACAAACAAACAAACAAACGAAGTGATCTATATATAGGCATTTTAAAACTAATTCACAGACATATTTCAAACTAGGCGTCTCAATTGAATCACTGAAACCAGTGACGACACATAACACACGCACATTTAGTTCGTGACATTTAATGACATCGTTATACTAGGAGTATGTTGTATACATGTTGAAACTTTGTTGAATGGTATGGTGTGGTTTGAATGATATTACAAGAGGACATCGTTATACTCGGAGAATGTTGGATACATGTTGAATGTTTGTTGAATGTTATGATGTGGTTTGAATGATATTTCAAGGGGACATCGTTATACTCGGAAAATGTTGGATACATGTTGAATGTTTGTTGAATGGTATGATGTGGTTTGAATGATATTACAAGAGGACATCGTTATACTAGGAGTATGTTGTATACATGTTGAAACTTTGTTGAATGGTATGGTGTGGTTTGAATGATGTTACAAGAGGACATCGTTATACTCGGAGAATGTTGGATACATGTTGAATGTTTGTTGAATGTTATGATGTGGTTTGAATGATATTTCAAGGGGACATCGTTATACTCGGAAAATGTTGGATACATGTTGAATGTTTGTTGAATGGTATGATGTGGTTTGAATGATATTACAAGAGGACATCGTTATACTAGGAGTATGTTGTATACATGTTGAAACTTTGTTGAATGGTATGGTGTGGTTTGAATGATGTTACAAGAGGACATCGTTATACTCGGAGAATGTTGGATACATGTTGAATGTTTGTTGAATGGTATGATGTGGTTTGAATGATATTACAAGAGGACATCGTTATACTAGGAGTATGTTGTATACATGTTGAAACTTTGTTGAATGGTATGGTGTGGTTTGAATGATGTTACAAGAGGACATCGTTATACTCGGAGAATGTTGGATACATGTTGAATGTTTGTTGAATGGTATGATGTGGTTTGAATGATATTTCAAGAGGACATCGTTATACTCGGAAAATGTTGGATACATGTTGAATGTTTGTTGAATGGTATGATGTGGTTTGAATGATATTACAAGAGGACGTCGTTATACTAGGAGTATGTTGTATACATGTTGAAACTTTGTAGAATGGTATGGTGTGGTTTGAATGATGTTACAAGAGGACATCGTTATACTCGGAGAATGTTGGATACATGTTGAATGTTTGTTGAATGTTATGATGTGGTTTGAATGATATTACAAGAGGACATCGTTATACTCGGAGAATGTTGGATACATGTTGAATGTTTGTTGAATGGTATGATGTGGTTTGAATGATATTACAAGAGGACATCGTTATACTCGGAGAATGTTGTATAGACGTTGAATATTTGTTGAATAGTATTATATCGTTTAAGTGATATCGGTCAATGCTGTCTTTGTTGAATAAATGTATTAAGAAGGGCTTTCCGTATTCACACAGACAAATATTATATCATAAATACATGGTGCTGCTTTTTACCAGCCCGTTTTAGCAGGGTGCCATTTTAACCTGATTCCTTTTAGACCCAGCAAAAGTATTCCTCTGCGAGTTGTCTGCTAGCTGACCTTGTACGGGGATGGATACACATGTCCAAACCGGTTTCTCGTACACTCACAAACACACACACACACACACACACACACACACACACACACACACACACACACACACACACGCCGCGTAGAAAATGATGACCGGTCCCCAATCGCCTACAGCATCCCAACCCCACGTACCTGATCCCCACCCCACCCCCAAGTGCACAAAGTCACGCCGAAGACCCGGGTTCGAATCACGACATGGGTACAATGTTTGTAGCCCATTTCTGGTGTCCCCCGCCGTGATATTACTGGAATATTGCTAAAAGCGGCGTAAAACCAAACTCACTCACACTCACCCAAGTGCACATCTTGCACTCCGCCTAGCCAGCACCCTACGCGTCCCGCCCCTGGACAGAGAAAGCTGTCAGTAGTCACAACTTTACTGGAGGCCACTGGCCTGAACTAGATAACAAACTTTGCTTTGGTAGGTGTATAGAAATAGTCAGTAGTTTACTTACCAGGGGTTCGTCAAGTAGAAATCCTGTTTTCATCGATATTTCGTAGTCTGTCAAAATCAAACGCGACATTGTCGTTTCCCTGCTCAGTTTTTGTCAACACGGATTCGAAATTACTTATACAGAATATGGGTCTAATGAGGGCATGATATGCCACAGGAACATGTATAAGTAATAGGCAAATTCAGTAATGTTATTCATCCTGCGCAATGACTAGAACAGACATTTTATTGCATATGACGTTACATGCATAAGAATTTGAATGACAGAGCAATTGGTCAACTCGAATAATGGTTAGAGTGTCATCAGCCGATTGGGTCATATGGGGAAGGCTCATGCCACTGATCGGCACATGTGCCAGTAAAAAGTGTCAGTGAGCTGACCCACATCACTATGTTATTGCTTATATCCCCTTTCAGCAACAGCTGTGTTGTGGCGAGACTGTCCTTTATCTGATAGAACCGGGGATCAGCAGACATAGACAGGCTTTTCCCAAAGCATTGACAACATTTTTTGGTCTTATTGTTGTACTTGTTCACATATATTATACTTATTCACATGTTACATTATTTGTCTAGTGCATACTAGGTAGAATATATCACCCTGTTCATTCATATAATAGTTTCGAAAGTGAATACCGTAAGAGGAGTTTGACCCAGAAAGTCTATACTGTGGGTACAGTACACTTTTCTGTTTCAGCATACATGTTCCAGTGTTTTTCTATTGAATTCAATAATGCGTTTTTATTCTAGGCCTAATGATGACAGTAAATCCCTTCTGTGAAGGTTGACATGTACAAATCTCCAACCTTCTAACCGATAAAGACGAGGACGGCTGTATAATTAATCTGAAAGCTGTAACAGAAGACACTTTCTTTACTTCCGGCTGGGAATGCATTTACATTATACAATCTCATCTTCAATTAGTTCCACCTATTATATCATCAAGCGTGCCAAATAAAACAGGTAAAGTAGCCATATAGATAGTAAAGATATATATCAGTGTGTTCTTGGGTTATAATGCCTTTTCTCTCATCAAATAATCTTATAAACCAACTGAGCAAACAAATCGCTTGAAGCTACTATATATAATATGATTCATATGATCAGTAGTTTGACCTTTGTGTATTTCTTTTTATAAATGTATGCCCGTCTTTTAAAAATGTAATGTGATGTGACTAATGATCAATCTTCAAACGACGCATGTTTGCGCGGATGTACAGTCAATTACTAATGTGTTGAGACACAATATTCAACCAACATTTCACCGCCTCCGTGGCCTAGTGGATAGAACGTCTGGCCGGAGAGCGGAAGGTCGGTGGTTCGATCGTCTGGCCGTGTCATACCAAAAGACAGTGTTACCCTGCCTGGCGCTCGGCATATAGGGGGAAAAACAGGGACTGGTCTGGTCGGGGTCAGTACACTGCGTCTGAGTGGTGTGTCGATGTTAAACTGTGGCATGATATCGCAGTGGGCAAGCGTCAAAACCCCGGACTAGTACAAGCAGCCACATCCACGTACATGCACGTCGCTAAATAATCTTCAACACGACGTTAAATCACATTTCGACCCCACACCCCTGCCGTCCCTTGTGGAATAGTGGGTATTTTACTGGCGCGGCTCTTTGACTATATAAGGGAGACTACTCTTCTCTGTTTAAACGTTTCTTCGTTTCAGGGGAGATGTTTGGATTTAGTTGATGTGAAAGACACAGTTCGATTCCAAGTAGAATCTTAATGTACGACGACTCATGATTCAATTAATTGTTTATCTCCCTCAGAAGATAAATTTAGAAAAAAAACTTGAACATGGACGTAAAAACTGCAATGCTTCGTGAATGAATAACAACTAATCACGACATGCAGATATCCCTCCGTCCGTTTCAATCCACTGTTAATGTTTTAAGGTGTATCACAGTTTCGATCACTAACACACACATCCGCAAATCAATTTAAAAAACAACAACTACTACCACCGGTTGACAGTTCTACCAATTTCAACTACTTTTAGTATCAACGTACGACCACCAATACCACGACACCTACCACCACCAATACCACCACCACCACCACCATCATCATCATCACTACCACTATCACAGTCACCACCACAACAACCAGTCACTAGAGCCACTACCACCACAACCACTTGCACCACCATCACAACCACAACCACCAGTCACTAGAGCCACTACCACCACCACCACCACCACAACCAACAGTCACGAGAGCCACTACCACCACAACAACCACCAGTAACTAGAGCCACTACCACCACTACCACCACCACAACCACCAGTCACTAGAGCCACTACAACCACCACCACAACCACTTGCACCACCACCACCACCACAACCACCAGTCACTAGAGCCACTACCACCACCACCACCACAACCACCACCACAACCACTTGCACCACCACCACCACCACAACCACCAGTCACTAGAGCCACTACCACCACCACCACAACCACTTGCACCACCACCACCACCACAACCACCAGTCACTAGAGCCACTACCACCACCACCACAACCAACAGTCACTAGAGCCACTACCACCACCATCACAACAACCAGTCACTAGAGCCACTACCACCACCACCACAACCACTTGCACCACCACCACCACCACAACCACCAGTCACTAGAGCCACTACCACCACCACCACAACAACCAGTCACTAGAGCCACTACCACCACCACCACCACCAGTCACTAGAGCCACTACCACCACCACCACCACAACCACCACCACAACCACTTGCACCACCACCACCACCACAACCACCAGTCACTAGAGCCACTACCACCACCACAACCACCACCACAACCACTTGCACCACCACCACCACCACAACCACCAGTCACTAGAGCCACTACCACCACCACAACCACCAGTCACTAGAGCCACCACCACCACCACAACCATCAGTCACTAGAGCCACTACCACCACCACAACCACCAGTCACTAGAGCCACCACCACCACCACAACAACCACCAGTCACTAGAGCCACTACCACCACCACAACCACCAGTCACTAGAGCCACTACAACCACCACAACCACCAGTCACTAGAGCCACTACCACCACCACAACCACCAGTCACTAGAGCCACCACCACCACCACAACCATCAGTCACTAGAGCCACTACCACCACCACAACCACCAGTCACTAGAGCCACCACCACCACCACAACCACCAGTCACTAGAGCCACTACCACCACCACAACCACCAGTCACTAGAGCCACCACCACCACAACAACCACCAGTCACGAGAGCCACTACCACCACAACAACCACCAGTAACTAGAGCCACTACCACCGCCACAACCACAACCACCAGTAACTAGAGCCACTACCACCACCACAACCATCAGTCACTAGAGCCACTACCACCACAACAACCACCAGTCACTAGAGCCACTACCACCACCACAACCATCAGTCACTAGAGCCACTACCACCACCAAAACCATCAGTCACTAGAGCCACTACCACCACCACAACCACAACCACCAGACACTAGAGCCACTACCACCACCACAACCACAACCACCACAACCACCAGTCACTAGAGCCACTACCACCACCACAACCACAACCACCACAACCACCAGTCACTAGAGCCACCACAACCACCACAACCATCAGTCACTAGAGCCACCACCACCACCACAACCATCAGTCACTAGAGCCACTACCACCACCACAACCACCAGTCACTAGAGCCACCACCACCACCACAACCACCAGTCACTAGAGCCACTACCACCACCACAACCACCAGTCACTAGAGCCACCACCACCACCACAACCACCAGTCACTAGAGCCACCACCACCACCACAACCATCAGTCACTAGAGCCACTACCACCACAACAACCACCAGTCACGAGAGCCACTACCACCACAACAACCACCAGTAACTAGAGCCACTACCACCGCCACAACCACAACCACCAGTAACTAGAGCCACTACCACCACCACAACCATCAGTCACTAGAGCCACTACCACCACAACAACCACCAGTCACTAGAGCCACTACCACCACCACAACCATCAGTCACTAGAGCCACTACCACCACCACAACCACCAGTCACTAGAGCCACTACCACCACAACAACCACCAGTCACGAGAGCCACTACCACCACCACAACCATCAGTCACTAGAGCCACTACCACCACCACAACCACCAGTCACTAGAGCCACTACCACCACAACCACAACCGCAAGTCACTAGAGCCACTACCACCGCCACAACCACAACCACCATTCGCTAGAGCCACTACCACCACCACCACAACCACCAGTCACTAGAGCCACTACCACCGCCACAACCACAACCACCATTCACTATAGCCACTACCACCGCCACAACCATCAGTCACTAGAGCCACTACCACCACAACCACAACCACCAGTCACTAGAGCCACTACCACCGCCACAACCACAACCACTATTCGCTAGAGCCACCACCACCACCGCAACCACCAGTCACTAGAGCCACTACCACCGCCACAACCAACACCACTACCACTACCACAACCACCAGTCACTAGAGCTACTACCACCACAACCACTTGCACCACCATCACAACCACAACCACCAGTCACTAGAGCCACTACCGCCACCACCACAACCACCAGTCACGAGAGCCACTACCACCACAACAACCACCAGTAACTAGAGCCACTACCACCACCACTACCATCACCACTACCGCTACCACAACCACCAGTTACTAGAGCCACTACCACCACAACCACAACCACAAGTCAATAGAGCCACTACCACCGCCACAACCACAACCACCATTCGCTAGAGCCACTACCACCACCACCACAACCACCAGTCACTAGAGCCACTACCACCGCCACAACCACAACCACCATTCACTATAGCCACTACCACCGCCACAACCATCAGTCACTAGAGCCACTACCACCACAACCACAACCACCAGTCACTAGAGCCACTACCACCGCCACAACCACAACCACTATTCGCTAGAGCCACCACCACCACCGCAACCACCAGTCACTATAGCCACTACCACCGCCACAACCACAACCACCATTCGCTAGAGCCACTACCACCACCACAACCATCAGTCACTAGAGCCACTACCACCACAACCACAACCACCAGTCACTAGAGCCACTACCACCGCCACAACCACAACCACCATTCGCTAGAGCCACTACCACCACAACCATCAGTCACTAGAGCCACTACCACCACCACAACCATCAGTCACTAGAGCCACTACCACCACAACCATCAGTCACTAGAGCCACTACCACCACAACCATCAGTCACTAGAGCCACTACCACCACAACCACAACCACCAGTCACTAGAGCCACTACCACCGCCACAACCACAACCACCATTCGCTAGAGCAACTACCACCACAACCATCAGTCACTAGAGCCACTACCACCACCACAGCCATCAGTCACTAGAGCCACTACCACCACAACCATCAGTCACTAGAGCCACTACCACCACAACCATCAGTCACTAGAGCCACTACCACCACCACAACCATCAGTCACTAGAGTCACTATCACCACCACCACCATCAGTCACTAGAGCCACTACCACCACCACAACCATCAGTCACTAGAGTCACTACCACCACCACCACCACAACCACCACCACCACCACCACCACCAGTCACCACAACCACTACCGCCACTACCACTACCACCACAGTCACCACCACCACTACTACAACCACTACCACCACAACAACCGCCACAACCACTACCTCTACCACCGCTCCTACCACCACCACAGCCACTACCACCACAACCACCTCCACTACCACCACCACAGCCGTGAAGATTCCGGGGTAGAATAGGTCTTCAGCAACCCATGTTTGCCGTAAAAGGCGGGATCGGGTGGTCAGACTTGCGGACTTGGTTGATGCATGCGTGGATCGATGCTCATGATGTCAATCACTGGATTGTCTGGTCCAGACTTAATTATTTACAGGCCGCCGTCATATGTTGATTGACGAGTGCGGCGTCAAACCAAAAAAAACACCCCCCAAAACTGCAACCCATCCTACTACCACCAACACTACAACTACTATAATAGCTACAACTGCTACCAGTAATAATATTGTTATCGAAAGATCCTTGTCTACCAAAGGTTAATAATGTCTCAACATTCAACACATACCCACTCTTCATTCACCGCACCCGTCGGCTGATCTCGCAACACGCTGTTGTAAATCTCAAAAACAAACACATCTCTCCAGTCAGAAAAAAATTATTCCTAACCCAAGTTGAAATTTCTCACAGTATATAAAACCTATTATCTTCTTGTAGTAAAGGAATATTGCGACAACAAACTGAACAACTCAGATGAGAGATTTTATTTTGTAATTGCGAAAGCGACAAGTATCTATTTACTCAACCAGGAAGCTCTGACGTGTTTTGCACACGGCACGCACTTATCTCGCAACGCAGGGCCCAGCCAAGCGTACACCAGACGGCAATCGGTATTTAGGATACTGCTTTGACATCGTTCGCTCAGGTAAGTTCACTCAAACTAAAGTCCTATTAGGTGTAATTCCTCTATATGGAACCTCCTTGATATATACTTGCTGTTATAGGAATGGACTTGAGGCTTGTGTATAGTTGTTTCCGAGAGAAATCTGCTGGCGTTCACTGAATACGTTTGGTATTCGACAGCTTACCGATGACCTGTATAAGGGCAGTGAGCAGGAACGACAGATACTGTTAATGGCTAGATGTTGTTTATGTATGAGGCTTGAATACGCCTTGAGATCTAGATCCACTCATACTATGGATAAAACTGGGAGGGGATTTACACGTTTCACACTGGAGTTGATAACCTGGTACGGTTATCACTTAGTGGATTGTTGAGATTTCTTTTGTTATGGTTTTCCATTATAAAAACGTGATAGTGAAATTTGATTTTATTTGATTGATTATTTTTTAATTTCCCATCTGTCTATTGAACAGACACATTGGTTACTAACTAGGAGATTAGGGGATTCATTGAGTTATATATACTATGATTTCAGATTGAGAACTATATTTGATTATCAGTATTTAGCGTTTCTGTCAACACATTGATAACCATAATCATCACAATCACCATTACACGGCACATGCAGGATGTGCTGCCAGGTATGTGGACGTCATATTACGTGAACTCTGTTTTCTAAACAGTGAAAAAAAATATAAATTTGATTCAACAAGTGCTCGTTCTGAATACAGGAATCTCACAGCTTGGTAAAAATTTACAGTTTCACAAACTTATTTTTATTCTTGATTGTATTTATTTGATGAAGTCACATGGAAGTGGTCGAACTAGCTGCCATGTATGGCGTAAACAAACACGCCTACAGTGCTATTTTAGCAACACATTTAGACAGATCGGTGAAAGGATTTTTAACAATAAGCTAGAGGCCATTACGTTACCTTTGTCAGAGACCATGCCTCATATAAGGGTAGATTTCGCTCGATGGTACAGATATGGGTAGGGCCCCGTTATAACGCTACTGTTTATGCCGACTATTTACCCGTGTTGGTACTGAGCGAAGACATGGTATGACGAATTAATTGTCCGATATATTTACATTATGGAAACAAATTGGCTTGTAAAAGGTGTGAGCCTTTCAAACCGCGACGTCAAAATGTCCATAGAATGTCGGTTGAGTGTAGTTTGTATGGTTGGGACAGCATTGAATTCGAAGCATCCGTGCGATGTAGTCTCCTAAGTGAGCTAAGAACGCACATCGAAAACACAGACCCGGATATTGTTAAACGTTGTTAAATAATAATAATAATAATAATAGTAATAATAGTAATAATTGTGGTGATGGTGACAATAATAATAATACATGACTATTGTGTGTGTTCATTGTTTAATAAGGAAAATGTAGTATGATAAGGATATGCAGAAAACAATCGTATTTCGGTTCCGCCTCCCGCAAATAAGTGCGAGGACATAAACCCACGTATCTCGTGATCTAAAACAAAGACCAGATGTCAGAAACACCCGATAACATTATTCATGCCGACAACGCACATCCATAAACAAACTACTCCATACTTAAACCAGACATTTATATTACACTATATGAACCGTCATATTTATATTTAGCTTCAGACAAAGCTGTGAGTTTGTGGAGAATGTCTGAGTAACGCAACAATACCACATGGGGTGCGTGTTACTTCATACACACATGCCGAGTATGCTTTGTGTTTACAATTAGTGGGTTTCGAGATTCACATAAATCAACATCGTAGCCCGTATTGCCCCGAGCCGTGGGACGAATTACGGACTGGCGTGTACTGTGTCAGCAACATCATGTCAGAGTATTTCGTCTAGAGGATGATGGAGCGGTATGATGCTGAGTATTGGATTTGTTTGTTTGTTGTTTAATGCCGCGCTCAGCAATATACTAGCTATATGACGGCTGTCAGGGAATAACCGAGTCTGGACCAGACGGTGATTGCTACTATGAGAGGTTCATCCTGTTGGGGTACGTTGTCACGCCATTATCCAGTCATCGAGCTTGACCACCCGATCCATTTAAGTCTCGTCGTACAACAAACACAGGCTACATGGGACTGATTCCAAGACATAAGGGGAGTGAGTGAACGAGTGAGTGAGTTTGGTTTAACATCGCTTTGCACTTATATCATCTTAGAATTATGATTTAAATTAATAATCAATGTCCCAGAGACTTGTGCAAGTCTATAGAAGTTATCATGCGAGCGTGTTTGGGGATGGTAAATATCCTGCATTAGGATTAAACATTGTATTTAGCGAACCTGTATCCTTAATACAGGATATTACCATCCCCAAACACACAAGCGTGATAACCTCTTTATCATATAATGTCATTCTTTAATTCTGTGCTTGAAAATCGCTTTCCCTCTCTCAAAAACATTACCTAAACATTGCGAGTTTTCCTGGAATGCGAGCATTAATATTTATTACGTCACAGGGTAAGTGATGTGTCAGTCGGACAGTGACAGTAGCCAATATAGTTCCAACTGAAATCTGTTTGTTATACACTGGCTTAGCAACATATACGCAAAACAGCAATTGTTTTTACTTGCATTTCGCGGCAATCCATCGGTCTGTTCGCTAGGGTAACTGCCCTTTGTCAAAGGGAAGCTACTCTAACCCTAGTCTATGAGACGTCACGGCCACGTTCAGACGTTGTTGACAGTCGGTCTGTGCTGTCACAACGATAAACAGTGCAATCAGGTGTACACACAGCGACAAAACGAAACAAGGTAACAATTCAAACATATTTCGGCCAAATCCAACTATTATAATTTGTGGAAAAAGTTTCAAGCCGCAGAGGTCTACAAGCACAGATATGGCTACTGATCCCGCTTGGCTAGGCCTAGTGCCCTCGCAAAATTGTTTCGAAATTTATATTTCCAAAGTTGCCAAAACTTATAAAATGCCTTAGCTACGTCACAGCTAGACACTGATTTTAAGTATATTAGACTGTTCATTTGATAATGATAACAGTTATCTCTGTAGTTTATCCAGATTCCCGATGGTTAATTCTGACTCGATTGCCGAATGACGACGCCATGTTTGTTTATAAACACTGAAAGTAGTCCCTACTTGACCTTTGATATTTGCATCTCTATCCGCATATGACCCCAACGGATATCGTTTTTATCCGTTGGCTTTATCCTGCCGAGAAACCTACCCATTATATGATAAACCAAAATATCACCCGGGTCCCACCCCATAAAGCGATAGCAGCGCTCAGACGTTAAGGTATATGGGTTTCTGATAGTTTTAGCGCTAAGATCGTTTCGTGAACAAGGCCCTGGTGTCTTGGACATTTGTCAAAAGCAGTGCCATAAATAGAATGGGTGGTGTATATTTCACATTATCATATAATGGATAGGTTTCTCGGTAAGATAAAGCCAACGGATAAAGCGATATCCATCGAGTCTATTAACCATCGGGAATCCGGAGAAATTACTGGGATAATTGTTGTCATTATCAAAAGAAAAGTCTAATATACTGAACATCAATGACGTAGTTGAGGCATTTTACACGTTTTGGCAACTTTGGAGATATATATTGCGAAACAATTTAGCGAGGACACTAGCCCAGCGGGCTCAGTTTCCATATCTGTACTTGTTGACCCCTGCGGTTTCCCCAAATTAAACAGTTGGATTTGGCCAAATATGTCCTTGTTTCGTTTTGTCGCTGTGTGTAATCTGAGTCACTTAAAAAAATTCGTAACGTCATGACAGGACAGACAGACTCTAAACAAACGTGACGTCTCATAGACTAGGGTTAGAGTAGCTTCCCTTTGATAAAGGGCAGTTGCTCAAGCGGACAGACTGATGGATTGCCGCGAATGGCAAGTAGAAACAATTTAATTTGTGTAGGCCATTGTTGTATTGCCTATATGTTGATACGTCACTGTACACTGGAGCTATATTGACTGTCACTGTCCGACTGACACATAACTTACCTTCTGGCGTAATATATATTACGACACACATTCCAGGATAACTTGCAATGTTTAGGTACTGTTTGCGGGGTTCGGAAGAGATATTTCGAGCATAGAACATTGAATTATATGATAAAGTGTTTATCACGCTCCTTAATACAATGTTTATTCCTAATACAGGATATTTACTATCCAATAAGAGCATTTCGACACACCATCACCACGACGTTGAGGTCAGTGAATTCTGACACTTTTATGTGGGCTGAGAAGTCAAATCTCCCCCTATTTATAGTATAATCACGCCATGGCCATTGCGCAATTGCAGCAAAGTATCACTCGTGCGAACGTCCGACTACTATATATTCGCTGACAATACATACACAGAACACTTCCTGGTGTACGACTGGAATAAGCTGCGTTTTTGACTTAATCCTGTTTCTGTGCAGTGTTTTCAGGCAAGTTGGTTTATTAACGCGTACCTCCTGCATGTCAGTGTCTTGCTGGGGAAGAACCTAGGCCCTAAAATAACTATGACGAAGTCCTGGCCCACTGTCGATGTGCCCAGCAACTGCACATGAATGTTGGCGGTCGGGTCCAGTTACGTCATGTCATATGATACACACATTGGCTCGTTAAATATGATGTTATTACTATGAGCTCGTAAATAATTTTTACTCTCGGGGAGACTGCAGGAAACGGGAGGACAGATGTGTGCTGTCGAGTCATTCATGTAACTTAGATCAACGAAGCAGTTATGTTATATTCTATTGGGTTGGGTCCGCCTGATGGTATGTTATTTTATGGTATGGTATGGTATGGTATGGTATGGTATGTGGGTTGAGTTGGGTGAGTTAGGGTGGGATGGGCTGTTGGTGTGTCGATGGACGATGGCGTTCAATCTCACATTAGAAACTCAATGGATCCCAGGTTATTATTTTATCACTACCCGTGTGCATTGCAATTTACATGGCACGACAACTCTCAACGCATGAACTGTCAACAATCAACTATAGACCGACAAGGGCCGCCGGGGTACAAAACTTCCTCCAGACTGTACCGAAAT